CCGGGTGCCTGTTACCCTCACCGGGGCTGACACTGCCTGTCCCCGCTGCCCTTTCTCGCAGATCTGCTGGAGGATGGTTTCGGAGAGCATCCCTTCTACCACTGCCTGGTGGCAGAAGTATCCAAGGAGCACATCACTCCGGAAGGTAACCGCCCTCCCCCTCCAGAAGCCAGAGAGATTTAGTGTATAAACGTAGTGTCTGCCGTGTAGAGCTACTGACAACACAGGCTAGGTTACTGAGAAGTGGCCAGAAATAATAGCCAGGCAGTGTTCAAACTAATGAGGAAATAAAATAGATGTACTACACCTCGGGCGGGTTAAAAGAGCTGTTTAAGTATCAGAGTGCCGTGGAGACACGGAAGAACTTGAGCTGTTTAAAAGTAAGTATCAGAATGCAGTGGAGACCCGAAAGACTTAGGTATGTCATTTGTTCTAATTCAGTTTCATAAATGGTTCTTGTTTGACCCTTTGGTAACCTTTTTTTTTAATTATTTTGTAATTCTGTTAAATCACGTTTTCTTCTTAATTTGTCCCAATCTTCAGGTTACAGTCTCTAGCTTCGCCATGTACATGGCCCTTCCGTGTACATGGATGGGCGGGGAGGTAACTAAAAGATCCTTTACACAATAAAGTAGATGATCATGATAAAAATGAGGTAAGGCCCTATTATCACACGGTAGATATTAAACACGGTAGATCAGAAATTCTATTCGACTTGCTTCCTGTGTTTGCAAAGGACTATAAAGTGGCAAGAAAGTTTAATTTGAAACCTTTGCCCCCATTTGGAATTCTAGACACCCAATAAAAGGGAGTCTGATTTTTTTATTTTTTTGCTGGTCCCTATTAACTGGTCAGAAAACAGAACTAAAAGGGGAAGTTGTTTGGGTAGGTGCTTAAGTTGTTGTTTTTTCTGAAGTCTGATCCCCAAGCTAGAAGAAATGAGCAGAAAACGTAAGGGATGAAGCCTTTTTTAGAGAGATATGGCTATTACATAATTAACACCTGTTTCTGGATACCTCTGCTGCTTCTGGCTTAAAAACTGGGGAGAGCAAATTGAAAATGTTTTCATTGGAAGGCAAGTTCTGAAATTAAATGTTGCACTTTTGGCCTAATGTCCTGACCTTAAGGAAGCAGAGTTTCTAAACGACAAATATTTACTATTCTGAACTGCCGTGTAAGCCTTATCCCCAAGTCACCAGTATATCAATAGGATGTAAATAATGTGTGGCTAAAGTTTAAGACTCTAGCGGTTTTGTTCTGGCAAGTAATGAAAGCGTTCTCGCTAATACATGCATGTATATTTTTTAAAACCTATGGTAGGCTTCGGATTTTGCAACTACAACTTTTATGAATCCATTTCGCCCGTAGCTCATATGATGCTCTGATTACAGGACACAGCATCGTTGGTTTTGCCATGTACTATTTTACCTATGACCCATGGATTGGAAAACTCTTGTATCTTGAGGACTTCTTCGTAATGAGTGATTTTAGAGGTATGGTTGATTGCAGAAGGGTGGCTCTAAAGAGAAATCAGGGCTTGAAGTCCTCCAAGTGACGTTTTTTAAATGGTACTTCTCTTTTTTTTAGGTTTTGGGATAGGATCAGAAATTCTGAAGAATCTAAGCCAGGTATGTCTTGGTTTTTGCTTTCTGGTTCTGTAAGGGTTACTAGATTATTTTAATGACTGAATCAAAACTGGGTCCTGGCCCTAGCTGGTTTGGCTCAGTAGTTAGAGTGTCAGCCTTTGGACTGAAGGGTCTCAGGTTCCATTCAGGCCAAGGACATGTGCCTCGGTTGCAAGTTGGATCCCGGCCCTGGTTGGGGCTCATGCGGGAGGCAACCAGTCGATGTGTCTCTCTCACATCGATGTTTCTCTCTTTCTCCCCCTTCCACTCTCTCTGAAAAACAGTGGAAAAAAATATCCTCAGGTGAGGATTAAAAAAACAAAAATTAAGAAAAAACAAATAAAAAAAACTAGGTCCTGGAAAGCAGGTAAAATGTCACTGAGCTGGTGTTTTACTCTCCCCCATATATGACAGGTTGCGATGAAATGTCGCTGCAGCAGCATGCACTTCCTGGTAGCAGAATGGAATAAACCATCTATCAACTTCTACAAAAAAAGAGGTGCCTCTGACCTGTCCAGTGAGGAGGGATGGAGACTCTTCAAGATCGACAAGGAGTACTTGCTAAAGATGGCAGCAGAGGAGTGAGGGGTGCGGAGTGCTCGTGTACGCTACACCTTCCATTGTATTTTAGAAAAAATCCTCAACTTACCTTCTTTCTATCATGTTTGTAGTGAAATAAGAGAATGAGCACCCATTCCAAAGCTTTATTACCAGTGGCGTCGTTGCATGTTTGAAATGTGGCCACGTTAAGATGGCAGTGCAGTTTGGAGTCAGATTGATCCTTGAACATCTTTTGATAACACAGCAGGGTGGTATAATCTTAATGTATATGAAAAAACTTCATTCTTGTGAGTCATTTAAATGTGTACAATGTACACACTGGTACTTAGAGTTTCTGTTTTGATTCTTTTTTAATAAACTACCCTTTGATTTCATTGTTTGGTGTAAGCATTTTTACTAATCCTTTGTTTCTTAAGGCAGTTTTCTCACTGTTCGCAATAAAAATGGCCAAGAGACATAACCTAAAACTCTGTGATTGTTTAAATAAATCTGGAAAGGAGCTAGTTGATTTCCAAGGTTTTATATGTACCAACACCTGTAAGATAACTTTGTATTCATAACACTGTACATTTCACCTGTGGGATTTTCAAGAGTGTAGAAACAGACGCCTGCCATAAATAAGCCCATACATGACACAAGTAAGGGGTGGGATTCTGAAACATTGGGAAAAAACATCTCGCCCACGGCAATCTCATCCTACACAAAGTACTGTTCAGAAGGAAAAGTGGATCACTTTGCTAATCAGGCAGGAACCAAAAATGCCTACATTTTTGCTGGACATTTGCAAACAGGCTGGAGTTGGACACAAGTACAATAAGGGAAATCAGCATCCCATGTGGAGGGCAGTTTGTTAAAACAATGGGGTTCTAGGATTCGTGCTTAAAACCATGGGGGTGGGGGGGAGTAAGTTTCTCAAGGACTAAACATGAAATTCAGAAAGGGCACGAAGAGAGAGTTTCAGATAGGTGAGCTCCTTTTATCACTCATTACACTGACCTAAATTCCCAAACCCACTAATTACCACAATGAGGAAAATCATGGTTGATAAGAACAACTGTGCTGATTTTCAAGATTAATGTTTTCCAAAGGAAGTTGACAGCTACGTGAAAAACAGGACTCCCGTGTTCTCCAGGAAATAAATACTGGGCTCCTCGGTGAAAGCGGGGTTTTGCCCTGCACCCCTTTGTTTCAGTGTCTGTTACGGCTTCCTAAATGAGAAGGCAGCTGCTTAAACAAGTGCAGTCACGCATTGGACTCAATACAGGGGAGATCTGGGATGTACTGGCGGCTCCGCGGCCACCGAAACAGGCCTACGGAGCCCATCACAGCCAGGGGCCTGCTAGGTGGCAAGTGGACAGTGGAGACGCTGGCTAGCGAACATGCAAAGGGTTAACAGCACAAGGAGCCCATGGGGAAGGAAAACATTTTGAAAATTATGTTTTGGAAAGTGAGCCTCTGAGGAAAACAACTACACGCTGGCTGTGGTTAAATATGTGAATAACTTAGATTAGCCAAGCAACTTACAATAATAACTCTGTTTTCTCATTGTTGGAGCTTAACCCCAAAGGCCCAGTGTTGTCACCACAAAAGCTTTTGTGACGTTCTTGAGTCCATTTTAAAGAAGTCCCTTAGGTTTGATATTAGAAACTGAAACACCGCAGCCTCAGCTCGCTAAATGTTCACCTCCATCACAAGACCCCTCTTTAAAAGCTGAACGATAAAACAAATCCATAAAGCTTGAAATCACCAGGCAAGTAAGAAAACATGTTCTGGGAAATTGACATGAAAGGAAATATTAAACAATGATAAGCCTGGAAAAGGAGAAAAGTCCATGTAAGCAACACCTCTGTAAAGATAACCTTAAAATCACTGTTTTACTAAAACAGTATCCTTGACATAACCATTTGGGAAGAATAGTACTTCAGGCCCAAGGGCTTGCCATAAGGATGTTCGGAGGTTTTCTCTGTTGTTGTTTTTCATTAACTGTTATTTGCTAAGTTTATTCTAGCCCTTAAAAATCCGTATAAAATCAGGGGGGAGGAGGGACTGGATGAAAGAAGGGAAGGGGATTAGCCAAAGAAGATATATGCTCAGCCCATGGACACAGGCGACAGTGTGGCCATGGCAGAGGGGAGGGGGGCGGGGCTGGGTGGAAGTGGGCAAAGGGGGAAAGTCCGGACGTCTGTAATAGTGTCAACAATAAAAATAAAGTAAAAAAACAAAGCCGATGAATCAAAAAACCCCATAAAATCAAAATATTTGCTACAGTGCGCCCCTTATCCATGGAGGATACTTCCAAGACCCCCGGTGGCTGCCTGAAGCCACAGACAGTACCAGGCCCTAAATATACTGGGGGTTTTTCTGTACATACATACCTATGATAAAGTTTAATTTCTAAATTAGACACATGAGACTAACAACAATAAAACAGAACAATTATACTATATTGTAATAAAAGTTATGTGAATGTGACCTCTATTTCTGTCTCTCAAAACTTCTTACTGTGCTGTACCCACCTTTTCACTTCAATGAAGCACTTTGTGGCTTCTCTTTGGCACATCCGAATCACCAGCATCACTATTCTTGCACTTTGGGGCCATTAGTAGGTGAAATAAGGGTGACTCGAACACAAGCACTGCGATACTGTGACAGTCCCTCTGATCACCCTGACGGCTACTAGGTGCCTGAAGGGTGGGGAGCATCCATAGAATGGAGATGCAGGACAAAGGGATGATTCATGTCCTGGGTGGGACAGAGCGGGGCTGGGAGAGATTTCATTATGCTACTCAGAACCATGTCAATTTAAAATTTATGAATTGTGCACTTGTGGAACTTTCCATTTAATATTTCTAGACCGTGGTTGACTGTGTGTAACTGAAACAGTGGAAAGCAAAACCTTGGATAAGGGGGACTTGCTGTACTATTTAAAAAGGGAAGTAGCTGGGTTTGTCCGAGAATAGGCTTGTGACATGCTGCTACAGATCTGACTAAAGGTCCATAGTAGAGCCATGGTCTGTCATTGTCCCAACCATAGCCTGAGATCATCAAATGCTTAGATTTCACGGGACAGCCTTTCCAGGGAAGGGAAGTAGAGGCTTTTTCACAGAAATGCAGAAGCAACAACTCAGAAGAAACCTAATGATTTACGAATGCCTTATAGCCACTGTACCCTATCCCGTGAGTCCCAGCAGGGCCTAGATGGATGTCACTTATCATTGCTCCTTGAAGCAAGTGGCTGCTCAGTAGCAACTGATGGAGCTGGCCATGCCCTGGGCAACCATCTACCATCCTCCTGACTGTGGCAGGAACCAGACATTATATTTAGAGCTTTCTCTATATTATTTTCTCTTCTAGTTCTCACAAACATCCTATGACGTAGGTACTATTATTAGCTTCATCTTATAATGAGAACCTGAACCTCAGGGAAGGGAAGTTGTCTGAGGGCACACAACTAGGCCTGGGAATCAAACTCCAGACCAAGTTTCTCAAAGCCCTGGGCGTTCACTGTCATATTTTCAGAAAACCTCATATTCTCTAGAAGAATGATTAAATTTGGTGTTCTTTTGGATTATAAGCATTTTCTGGATCATCAAAATCAGTAGTTCTCCATACTGGCTGCATGTTAGAATCACCTAGAAAGCTTTTACGAAATACGAATGCCCCACCCCAGAGACTCATTTCATTACGTTTTAATGAGTATTCCAAAGCGAGGCCAGGGTTGCCAGCTCCTCATGAAGAAAATCACATCGTAGCCCAATCCTAGTCAGAACTATAAGTACAACCATGCTGTTTACCTTGGCACCATGTTACTGACAGTGAGCTCTTGCCAAACAAGGACAAACTGGAGTGACATCATACTGCATGAAGGAGAACCTTCTGGAGAGCTTTGAGAGGAAAATGGTGGGAGAATTGTGCCATCCCACTGGGCACAGCGCCGAAACATCTGCCCCAGCCATCAGTACCATTGCCTTTGCCAGCAGCAAGCTCATTTCAGCCAAACACCCTCCCTCACATTAAATCAGTGGTGTTCATTTTGATGTTATTAGTTTGGTAGTTTTGTTTGTTTTGGATTTATAAATATATATTGGTTTTACAGTTCGACAGGAGTTATGAACATAAAATGTTCACATCTAGTTGGATGTCTGCAGTGAGGAATATAATAAGAATAATTTCAATCACCACTGGGGGTCTGTGAGAATTCTTTCTTTTAAAAGTGGTCCATGTTACTCAAGTTATTGCCGTGACCATAATGCAATACTGCCTGCTTCTGCTTGGTTTAAAAAAAAACAAAAAACCAGCATGGAACAGACTGACGAATCTCAGAGGGAAGGCGGGGGTGGGGGTGGCAGGAACAGATTAACCTAAGAACTTATATGCATATGTGCATAACCCAGGGACACAGACAATAGTGTGGGGAAGGCCTGGGGGTGGGTAGAAGGGGTCAATGGGGGTTAAAAGAGGACATCTGTAATACTTTCAACAATAAAGATACATTTTTTTTTTAAAAGCCAAAGATGTCAGAGGTAAGATTTTGCCAACTGGGCCCCAACTTGATCAAGTTCAGGTTTGATTTTCAGCAAGAGTATTTCATAGATGCTTTGTTTCCCATTAAGGGGCATATAGTGTCTGGATGTCTCTTTTTGCGATGCTAACAGCCATTCCCATGGATATCTAGGCCGTCCGATTCCTTAGGAGTTCCAAAGTGATGATATAGTTCTATCATTCCTTCTCCACTAGCTGAACTACTTCTATAAAGGGAACATCCCCCATCTTGTATTTTGTTACCTTAAAGCACAGTTTACCTAGCAAAGGCCGGACAGATGCTTGAGTCTTCCCTTCTATTTACTAAGTGTCAAAAGACTGAACCAGCTTCTCCAGAGTCTTCCAATTAGGCTCACCCCTCCCCCAAGTATCGTTTTCATTAACTCATGGACTTTAAACACTTCCTGTGCCCTAACTCATTTTCATGATATTTCTTATGGGAGCTCAGATTGCCCATACTGTTCAAGGAGATCTTCTCCAAGTCCTTTGGACCTGAAGCCTTTGTTAGCTTCCTCGCTTTTAAGATGTCCCTGGTTTGCCCAGCCGGCGTGGCTCAGCGGTTGAGCATTGCCCTAGGACCCAGGAGATCGCGGTTTGATCCTGGGTCAGGGCACATGCCGGGGTTGCGGGCTCGAGCCCCAGCAGGGGGTGTGCAGGAGGTGGCTGATCGATGACTCTCATCATTGATGGTTCTCTCTCTCCCTCTCCCTTCCTCTCTCTGAAATCAATAAAGATATATTAAAAAAAAAAAAAAAAAGAT